TCAAGGCCACAAGGTTAAATAAGCTCCAGTCACTTTAAAATGGCTGCTCTGGAACATAGTTGAAAAGTTGGTTGCCTTATTCACACTACAAATACAGTGCTAAAATGGGAAGAATTACAAGGCGTTATAGTCTGTATTTGGGCTAAAGCTTGGCCATTGGTACTTTTGGAAGGTTTTCCTGAAATAAGGTGTGAGGTCGGAATCCATATTTTACCAGGCATAATTGCACTTAGAGGATGCACTAGTTTTAACTCTTTTGCCCAATTTTGCCTTTTTTGGGAATTAAAGCATAATTTATACATCTGAGGGAAACATTAAGATAGGGTAGCTAGCTGCAAAATCTTAATCAGGAAGGCCTCCTCTACAGAATATCATGGCTATTATGTTTGCCCCTATTCCCAGGCCACATGCAAAAGAGTCTGAGGTAGTACAACTTTCTTGGTTGTCTTATGGAAACCATTAACTGCACAACCTACATTGGAAAGTTTCTTGTGGACTAACAGCATTGCTTTTTTGATGCAGGTCCAGTCCTACCATTCGGCAGTAAGGTAGCTGCCTCAGGCAGGTGATTTTGTCTGTCATTAAAGGTCTGGAAATTTTTAGCTATTCAATTCATGGTTGTTGGATTATTTTCTGCTAGGAAGATGCTTATGGAATTTATATATTCATTTGCCTCAGGATGCTAACTAATTTGGCTAGTCTGGTACTGTGTGCCTTTACCTTGATGGAGCAGCAGGCTCCATTTGCTGTCCTGCCTAATTTTGAGAGGTTGAGGTGAGAAATGGAACTCATAAGAACAAATTAGTTGTGTGTTGACCTGCCTCCAATATTAGCTGCTGCTTCTGCAGGTTTTACTCCAGCCCTTTTTGCCCATTGAAAGACATTTCCGACATTAGAACTCAGCTATGGAGAACAGCTGTTCTGAGGTAGGAGTCAGGTGGGGTATTTCCTCTTTGCCAACATGTCCATTTTTACTGTTAAAATTAGACATCACTCTCCCCGTTTCTAACTGGCTCTACTTTTGCCCTTAGCTTTGAGCAGCCACATTTTTATCTGGCAAATTATGGGCAACTCAGTGATTCAGTCCCTTGGCAATGAGTCTAACATCTATAAGCTTACCGCAGCCAAGCACAATAATGGGTAACATAATATTGCTTCCTTTTAATTATTAAATATGGAGATGGAAAACAGGTCATTCATGCCTAAATCTTCTTTCAGATACTTGTTACAATACATAGAATGTTCTGAATGGAGGCAACAAAGAAAATAAAACAGTCCCGCTTTCTCCAATCCTGGAGTCTTCCAAGTTTTTGATTGCATCCCTAACCAACTTAAGCCATGGGTGGGGATTATGGGATTTGCAATATACCACATTTAGAGGAGTTGCCAGTTGGGGAAGGATGGTGTATTCTTATCTCTATAAACTTCCCCTTATTCATGCATTAATTTATTTTTCTTTTCAAATCATGTTTGTTGTCACACTTTTTCCTTCCAGTAGCCCTCTTTTTCTCAAACACATTCCAGTTAGGAATGGGTGGTGGGAACTCTTAATCTTGTGGAGAAAAGGTGGAGGTTCAACCCCCTGAATGAATACTTACGCATAAGCAGCTTCAGTGCCAACATCTCTAGTCCAGTCCATGTAGCCAAGATAGAATGCATAGCTTTTGATCTTACACCCTTCTTTGATTCATCTCTGTCTGTGATGAAAAATATTTTGGAACCAGCTACTCAGCCGTAAGAGAACTGTTTGCTGTGCCTTTTAAAACAACACCATTTGTTCAGGCTTAAGAATTCAGATACAGTTCAGAAGGCTGCACAGAGAGGACCCCAGCTGCCATTAAATGACTATTGCAGCAAGCAATTAATGTTGTACAATAAATCACTGCAGAATGACTTAGCACAAATTCTCAGAAAACCACAGAGCCGGATGCAAGGAGACTGCCAGAGCTACTTCAGTGGGTGTGGTCTATTCACCACTGTGCTTCAAAGACATATATTCACTAATGAAGTTTGCTCATTGTTTTAACTCGCTTTATTGCTCCTGTTAAGTCTTGGAGCATATGAAGGTGTAAAGGATAATAGGTGTAAAGTAACAGTAGCTAAACTATAATGCACAAGGCAAGCAGTTCATTGGCTGCGAAGGTTTGCTCAGTGGCAAGGGTCAATTAATGAGACAACATAGTCATGTTTGTTGTGGGATCACTTTTTTGGGGGTGGGGGTCTCTTGAATGCTAGGAAAAACACATGCCAGTTACTGTACTTTAATAAATCCCCCCCACCAGCCTTTTACCACACTTGTGCAGGCCAAGTGCCCACAATAGGGCTTATGTTGGGTGAAAAAGCAAAATGCAGAACACACATCTATACAAAAAGGGTTTATCCCCAACCATTTTTATATCAATACTGTATTCAGGCTTTTCAGTATCAATAACAGTTACAATTAAAATGAAGGAGAATGCTCAGTAAAGCTATCCTTTTGCTTCTGTGTATTTAGTAAGCTACCACTGTGGCATTTCCTGGGGTTTTGCAAGCTGTGCATGGCTTCCTCAAACGGGCTCCCCCCCCCCCCCCACATAGACTCCTTTCACAAGATTGATAGTATGTAAAACACTTTGACTAACAGACTGACTTTTGGTATCTGCCCTGGATAGTTCCTTAGTTAAGGCACCCTCGAGCACATTCACAGAGGTCATTTTCAAAAACAGGCACCCATTCTAACAGGAAGCCATCGAAAGTGCCCCGTCCATCGTATCACAGGACAATCTGCCTGGCACCTTTATTGGCAACAGCGCCAGATGACTCTGGGAACTCTAAAGCGGAGCTCATTGGAGCTAGGCAGGCACCGTGCTGTTGATTGTGGCATCTGATAATCAGGGACAAATCAGATGTCATGTTACCTGTATAAATTCATGGTGCGTTTTCTTTGCCACATCAATGAAACTATCATGGGGTGCTTAAGCATAATCAGAACAGGAGGGTTGTGGGGAACAGTTCAACTTTCCATTGATGTGGATCTGATGAAAGCCATGCCTCCCTACCTGTTATTTGCATCAGGAAGAAGCTTCCACTGGCACAAGTGGAAGCTTCTGACCTGGTGTAAATACCATTACACTTGGGAAAGGAAATTCATAAAAACGTAAGAAAAGCCATGCTGGATCAGTCCAGAAGTCCATCTAGAACATATGGTGGCAAACCAGTGGCCTGCAGGATCCATCAAGCAGGACTGGGGCAAGACCTCTCTCTGCCCAAGCTCTTCAGCTACTGGTGTGTGCAGGCATGTCACCTCTGGTAAAAGAGGTAGGGCATAGACAGCAAGACTAGTATCAGGCTTGCCTCTGAAGCATCCCGTTTGCCCAGTTGGTCTTCTCTTCAGCATCTCAGCTACTGTGACTTGTCCCTGGGAAATTTGGGGTTGAATATATTGCTAGTCCTACGTAAAGTAGAAATTTAATGGGAATTAAGTTAGACTAATATTGGATGCAGCCTTCAGGGCACAACCCTATACATGTTTGGAAAGAAAAAAGTCCTACAACTCTCAGCATACTCCCCTTGTGATTAAAGAAGAAATAGTAATATTCAGTAGCAGGGAGAAGGAAACAAATGCTAGAGGAAAGGCAATTGAATGTAGCTGCTCTGGGAGAATTACTTAGTAAAAAAGAAAACACAGAGCAAGTCCATACTTCATAACATGTGAAGCTTATCAAGCCATGTTCTTTTTGGTTAATATATAGTTCTCTGAGCAGGAGCTTCTCATGCTAGAAAACAGATGGGGTGTTGCATCGTGGACCTGTCCCCACCCCTTCAAATGCTTCTTCCACATTATAACACAACATAAAACAACAAACCATTCTTGCAAACAGAATGGCACAGCAGCAGAGTGGAAAGTGGAGTCTCTTCTAGCCCTCTGTCAACTGTTTAGGTTTTTTATCTGGAGGGAGCTTTCAATACAGGGGAGCTTTAAAAAATGTGACCATTCACCTGTAGCAATGTCACCTGTTCTCTCACCTCAGCATTGTCCCATCTTACTCTGTGGTGCATGGAGAGCAAATCTCAGCATAGGAAGGCACAGAACACTTGCTAACAAGTCATCTGTTTTACTGGAAACTCAGGTACATGGGCAATATTCTCTTCGCCCCTGCTGCTCACAGTCCGTTGCCTTCATCTCACACACACACTGCCTTTATTTACCACACTTGTTTCTCAGCTTGAGAAACTACAGATATTATAAACAGCAACTCCGACAACAAAATAATACAGAACAGATGCACTATTCCAAGATTTTTGCCCACTCATTTTTCATATGACTTGTTCAAAAGGATTATTTTCAAACCAAAGGTAAAAAAAAAAAAAAACAGCCGGAACATAAGGAGAAAACCTTTGGCCTCTCGTACATTCTAATCATATATGGTGAACAGATAAGTTGATTTTCTCAAGTATTCTGATTCCAGCATTAAATGCAATTAATACTAGGAGCTCACTTGTTGACAAGGACTGCTCAATTCATTTTGGAAGGTGTTCACATTCACAAGTGCCTCCTCCATGGGAGAAAATGGGATACATGCTTAGAAACTGAACTATGGAATGGATGGGGGGTAGTACACAGAATCTGTAGCTTCTGTTAAAATGCATGGTAATTGTCTGTGGAGTCTTAGCCAAAGCAAAAAAATGTAATCAATTCCCATATCAACTGTGCTGTTCAGAGTTTAATTCAAGTTTTGAATACAGTGCAAAGTGGTGTTACTTTAATTATTCAGCCCATAGAATAATTTTGTTAATGTTAAATTAACTGACGGGCCTGCCTCCAGTGATTTTACATTTATCTATTTGCTTTCTCAATTGGAAATGACATGATAGTTAAAACGTTTTATGAAATACAGATGCATAGATAAATATGAGAGAAACTTTTTCACTTTTTGCAATGAGAAAGTAGAAACTTCACACGAATATATTACAGGCAAGTCACCATGTTGTCCTACTAGTCAACAAAAAGACATATCATATGAAAGAAACTTTTAATTTTTATTTTACATATTTATACATAAAACTTTCAAGGTAACTCTTTCAACCAAACTGCATGTTAATAGCACATCTAAAAATGAAAGTCAGGTAGTCAACATTCACAAAATGTTGAAAACTGATTAAAATATACATATTACTGAAAGCTACAACTTCACTACGAGGCAGGCATGTATGTTTCTCTTTTACTTGTATAGCACCGTCAAATTACAGTCTCATTTGTTTAAAACTACGGTGAAACAATAAAAAGTAGTCAATGGTAAAATACTGTTCAACTTAAGTCTAAAATAAACAAAAAATAAAAGTTATACTACCCTTTCTCTTCTTCTTTCATGTTTGCAATGTTTATAAGTACTGTACATTTTGTTCTACGATAAGGTTATTGAACTGTCCAATATTTAGTGGCACAAGTAAAAAAACCCAACAACAGCAAATAAATAAAAAAGCCTAGGCCAATCACTGGACATAAAGCTTCGGGCACCAGGAGCAATTCACCAAGCACTGTTGCTGTGCATCCACCATTCATTTCAAGGGGGGGATTCGTGCAGGGTTCCCGGTGCTTGGCAGATTGCCCCTGTAATCAATGACTAACACTGATTTTCTTGTGCACCGCCCACGGAGCATCAGCGTTTGTACAACCACAGAAGCAAACAGTTCGAACTCCTTCTTTACTCAGATGGCTTCTCACTTTACTTTGCTGGCATTTTCTCTGCCATGTGCTTCTGCTGACTTTCAGCATGTCTGCAGAGAAACGGAAAAGGTGGTATCATTAGAGAAGAACTGGAACGATGTGCTGTGCTGTTGTTTTAAATGCAGTATGTAAAGGCTGTAGGGAAGAATAATATCTAGAAAGGAGACAACAGCAACTTTCGAGGTTAGTTTAGTGCTATGTTATTCTGGTTGCCATGACAGACACAGTCCTATCCATGGACTACTTTGGCTACAAATCAACAGGTTAAATGGAAACGAACACAATGTGGACTTTACGGAACTGCTTCAAAAATCCAACTGTACAATCAAATAATATCAAAAGGAAGTTTATTTCTGAAGGATACAGGGGAAAGGAGGAGATTTTCACCTCCTTCCTGTAGAAGTTAAGTTTGCTGTCTTCACACAATCCAAGGATATGACAGGTTGACCCCAGCATGGACTTACGTTCCTTTGCTTCTAGTAGCAAAAGGTCAAGATTTGAAAGAACAACAAACAAAAATATCACTGCCATTCCACAATTCACCAACAATCTGAGCCTCTGTGAGATATTTTGTTGCAGATCTGATTAGATGAGTAAATATTTATTAACTGAAGATGCAAGCTGGGTTTTACATGAGAAAATGTTTTCAGAAAAACAGGAAAAAGCTGCATAACAGATAGTGTGTGTCCGACTAGGGCTGAAGAAATATATGCCCAACTTCTCACTCATCTGTGAAGCTCACTGGTTGACTTTGAACTAGTTACCATCTGTACCTTAATCTACCTCACACAGATGCCATGAGGATGAAAAAGTGGTGAGGATGGGACACCACAGCAGCATCCCGTAGAGTGTCCCAATTCTGTGCTTTTCACACTGTGTTTGACTCATCACCAATCTGGTGTCTGAAACTAAAGACCATTGAAGGAAATGTTAAAAACATCAGACTATTTCCCACTAGGTTTAGTGAGGCTTCACCTGGGCAGTCTTTGGGCTAAAACAAGCATTGCCTTAAATTGGTACTTACTAGCTGACATTTTGGCCATGGTGGTGTCTAGTTCCTACAGGCTGTTCGCTACTGGAGAGGTAACAGGCAATGTACACATTTGACAGCATTATAAGGACATTTATTCCCCACTTTTGTCTTCAAAAGATTTGTGCAAAAGCATGTGAATGCATAACTATGGAGCTGTTAACACACCGACTGTTTCTCCTCTACAAACAGATCTTTGGTAGACACCAATGAAAGCTTTTCAGTAGATTATTGAGGACAGGAATAATGCCAGACAGAAAGAAAAAACACATAATTACACACACACACACACACACACACACAAAGGCACACAAACATGCCCTTCCCTATGTTCTCTAAAAAGCTGGCTCAAGAACCAGAGCAGGTTCACAAAAGTATGGATAATTGATTGACTGATTGACTGAGTGACTGAATTTGCTGTGATATGAACCACATATACATTTCTTAAACAGCTACAATACCATTTCTATGTTGCCCTTTCATAGGCTGTGTTGTGACATGTGAACCTAGTCAAACTGACCTTGTTCACATGCAGTGTCGATGGTTTAATTAACCATGGCTTGTTGTAGCATGGATTGTCATTTTATGTATATTTAAATACAGGAAGGCTTCTATATCACTTCATTTTAATGTTGTTCCATCAGCAATAAAGAAAATTCCACTTGAACTGAGATTGTGACCTTGTCAGCCAGGACACCTTGAAAGAGTGAATGTGCTTTACTGGAGTAAAGTTTTTATAACAGCATTAGGGCCGGTGACTTATTTTGCAGCAGGTGGATTTTATTTTTCATATCTGTTAGTTGGCATAAATAAGCTAACAAATATTTGCTGCAGCTTTTAAGGTGAAACTACAATTAATTAATGGCTGCTACGCAGTCACAGTTATTGAGAAATAAATAATAAAGTTAGTCACTGATTTTATGTTAGGCATGTATATTGTTTTCAGTCAATCCTGTTATGATTAGTTACATTATATATTCTATTTATTTTATAGAACTCAATTGATGCTCATTTTACTTTTCTGCTCTAGTAGCTATTTTTAATATGCTGATATGTCATATATGCCCTCCCGCCCCTTGAGATCAGCAACAGATGCCCTTCTCCGGGAACCCTCTGTGAATGATATTAGGAGGGTGAGTACCCGGAGGAGGGCCTTCTCTGTGGTGGCGCCCCATCTATGGAATGCGCTCCCCAGAGAGGTCCACCTGGCGCTGTCGTTGTATGTTTTTCGGCACCAGGCTAAGACCTTTTTATTTAAAACTTATTTTAATTACTAAATTATTGTATTTATTAGGATTTTAAAATTAGCCAAGAATGCACCAGGGCGGGGGGGTTAAATGTTTTTTTCTTTTAAAATTCTTATATTGTTATTGTTTATGTATGATTTTGTGTATTTTTTGTGAGCCGCCCCGAGGCTTTGTTGCGATGGGGGTGGCATAGAAATGTTTTAAATAAATAAATAAATAAATGTGCATGGATTAAATAAATACTTTTAGACTGAATTTTGGGTTCCTGATTGTGGCTATGTAAATCTCACCCATCTTTTCTCACCCCATGCTCTCTCCCTCAGTCCACATCCTGCAGAAGGAAGGATTTTGATTTGCGAGTGACAGTCTAGCAAAAGCCACATTTGGTGCACAGTTGCTGTTAGTACAATACAAACTTGCCACATGGATAAACTTTTTCCCTGGTCACTGACACAAATTCAGGATCAGCTACCTGTGATGCTGCACAAGTCATTAGGGAACCCCTCCAGATTTTTTTAATGAACAGAAAGAGAACCTTTTGGCTTTTGCACGCTCCTAACATGAACAGGACCCCCCCACCCCCGGACCTAGCAGGAATGTATCTTCAGCAGGACTGCAGCAAGAAAGGAATGGGTTTAATCTTCCTGCCCCACATGCTGCCCCCCTGCCTGCTATTGATAAAAACATTGACAGTCTTCTTAATTATGTGTTTAGTGTCCCACCTAGTTTGTTCCTCAGATGTTTGCATATGTAAATCCCACTAGGTCAAGTTAAACATGCATTTCTCAATATTGCCAACAGGTGGCATACAAGCTTCTCCTACTGAAGAAGATTTTACTCATTTTATTTTACTCTACAGGACCAAATTTTCTCTTCCTCTCCATATAAGGTAAAGGTAAAGGTTTCCCCTTGACATTAAGTCCAGTCATGCCTGACTCTAGGGGGTGGTGTTCATCTCCGTTTCCTAGCCGAGGGAGCCAGCATTTGTCCACAGACAGTCTCCGTGGTCATGTGGCCGGCATGACTAAACACCGAAGTGCACGGAACGCTGTTACCTTCCCACCAAAGTGGTACCTTTTTATCTACTTGCATTTGCATGCTTTCGAACTGCAAGGTTGGCAGGAGCTGGGATGGAGCAACAGGAACTCACCCCGTTGTGCAGATTCAAACCAGCGACCTTTCGATCTACCAGCCCAGCAGCACAGCGGTTTAAACCAGTGCGCCACCTGCAGTCCCTCCTCTCCATATAAATTCAAACTAATCTAAATGTGGCAGTCTAGACTTGCCAGATAGTCTGTTGCCCTCTGGTTTTGCGAAATTCCCCTTCTAGCACCCCAGCCGCTACGTCTAAACATCAGGAATTCTGAGGATCACAGTACAAAACACTTGGAAGGCACTGGTTTGCCAGAGTCTCTCCTGAAACATTAAGAGTTGCTTGCGCTATCAATTAGTGAATGCAATTTGTGTTTACTGTGTTTGGTGCAGGGAGCAGGAGACAGCTATATGCTTAAGTCTCCACTTTATTTATACCATGAGCTGAGATCAGGTCTGGTTTCCTGCAACTTGTTTTCATGGTGAATATGAGATAAAGGATTGTGTTCAAAGTTAGTGCTACTTAAAGAGAATCCAGTCAAATTAATGGGACATGTCAGAATAACACTGAGCACAACACATAATAAATGCATGTGGCTGTTTCATGTATTACAGAACCCACAGTGGAAACATAACAATCCTAACTTTCAATGCAGAAGAAATTATAGATTTGTGAGAATTTAGCATATAGAAGATCTTTACAATCTTTTTTTTCTTGCAGCATGAAACAATTTTTTCTCAAGTCCCCTTTGAGATATTTGTGAATGATTCCTTTCACTTTGTGAAAGTCAATCATCCCTTTGGATATTCTGAGTTTCAAAGCAGTGGGGTGTGGGTAGAAAGGAGGAGAGAGGGGATATTACCCATATTTAATATTCAGAAGCCTTCAAAGCACTCCACCCAAATATTGGCTCCATCAATTACCCTCTTCTGTATGGTACTGCAATAAATTATGACTCAAGCCATCATAAGGAGCACTGAAAATACGCTTTGCATGGTAGGACAATTCTTGCAAAGCCCTGGAATTCATTTTCTAGAATTGCAAATGTGCCAGTGTAGTGGAAGAGCTGGAGGACATCCTACAACTGGAAGCTGTAAGAGAAGTGATTTAGCATTTCTTGCTTCTGAGTTATCACAGAACCTCCCCTAATCAGACAATTTGAGGAAGGAAATGTAATCTAAGACAAAGGGTGAGAGAGGATAAATAGAGGGGTAAAACATTAGGTGTATACTGCATGAGGAAGGGTCTGGATTAAAGAGATCTGGATAAGTTGACATTTAACAGTAGTTTACCTTGTCTGCAGCAATGGTGCTAAATTACCATGGTATTGATAGGGGGCCGCACTGTAAAAGAAATATTACAGAAAAAATAGTAGTTGGTTTGCTTTGGTTCATTTAAGCTTCATCTTTCTCTGCAGATGATGAACACATTTCTTCCCCCTTGAGGTTAAAAACTACCACAGGAAGAGGAGCACTTTGGAAAAATGTCTTGCAAGAGTGCTAGTAAAACTAATATTGAGTTGTTTATTCGGATTATTGATAAGATGTTATGGATTAAAGCAGGGGCAAGGAATTTCATCCAAAAGACTGCACCCCTGCTTTCATTATGGAGGACACAGACTGTGACATGTCCTTGCCCCATCTATTTTTTTTCTATCTGATTCTATCCTCTGATGTGACAGGAGAAAGGAATCATTTGTGGACAAGAAACATATACAGTCATTAGACACTGGCACTGCTATTAGTCTTTTCTGCTTAGGCTTTTCTGGAGCAATCAGCAGTCAATGTATAAGCAACGATCTATACATTACTCTTTGACTCTCCCCAGGTCATGAAATTGTGTTTGAAGTTATCATGATTGATTTTTGGCTCCTACAGGTCAAGGACCTGAAGGCCTTTTTCTATTGCCAGCCATGGTCTCCATTTCTAAACTAGACTGAATAATTGATGGCAATTTTTCAGACAGAGCAGCCAGTGGACATGTTGCCTATCCAGATAGATAAGGCATGAGAAAAAGAGCTGGTCTTTAAGAAAAAGTAACTTAGGAAAGGAAGGAAAAGTTAGGCAAATACAATGGCAGCTAAATTACCAAGGGAGAAGTGATTGGAAGTGAAATCAGAGAAAGGCTTGAATTCTAAGCAAAAGAATTAGGAATCATGAAGGCAGATCCCAAGAAAAAGTTTTTGTACCTGCTCCTTAGGACCACTCTCTTTGCCTCCATAAACAGAATTCACCAATTTTATATTTCCTAGTAACTATCACTTCACAAAAGAATCAAAAACCATTTGACAACAAGTAGCTAGAGGGAATCTCAAGCACTGAATGTCAGAGAATAAATGGATGCAATGACCCAAGAAGCTTTATTAATCATTGGACAGGAGAGTGGAGATCACAAAGAAATGTTCTACATTTTGCAGTTAATTTTCTGATTTTAAAAAACTCCGCGCCCACACTAAACAAATGCAGCAAAGAAGTATTTAAGCAGCTGGAAAACTAGCAGTAAAAACCAGAGATAAAGATACAGCAGTCACCACAGGAATTAGGATAGAATCATATTGTCCAACCAGGTACACATTTAATAGTCAAATCTTTAATTAGGGAAGGAGGCAAAACCGAGTATCCACTAGCTTTTTATATTCCAAAAAATGAAGGGATGGTATTGCTTGTTTGCTCCAAAAGCTCTGAATATAACGTGCAATATGTCTGACAACTTCTGAGACCAATCCAATTTATGCATAACTCCTCCAAGTCATGTCCCTACTTCAACCGAGTTCAACACCAGTCTGATCAAGAATTATGAAGGACTCAAAATGGAGGATCATGGGAAGGTTCTACCCATAAAGAGGGACTAAAAAGCACCCTACATTATTTAAACAAGGCTTGGGCCTTTTGGTCAGAGCTAATAAAGGTATTTTTGTATTGTGCTCTGGATATGATCCAAACTACTATTGATCAGAAAACTGATGCTGGTTAAAGAGGTTCTAACACCAAAAAATTCAGAGGGCCTTTTGGGGGGGTGGGGTTTGAATGATATACAAAAAAATCTGGAAATAAGTTTGGTCGGTATAACCTATCAGAAAATGATACCAACCTGGTCAAGTCTTCAATGTCTACCAGCATAGCATCCTGTTCTGTGTGCAATTCGTCTCGAATAAGCAGCAGCTGCACCAATTCTTCATTCAAGCCTGACAGCAGAAAGGAGAAAGCGAGAGTTTAATTTCACTTATTTTCCCTGTGACTAATTCGTGGAATTTATTAGTCATTATGGTACAAAACTTCAGTGGCTCGTTCAAAGGAATAGATGGGCTCTCACTTATTTTTGGCTTGCAGGTAAACCAGGAAGGCTATGAAGTAATGGATTAAGATCAATGACTGGTAGGTGGTGTTTGTTTTACTACTGTTTCAAGGACGGCAGAAAAGTGAAAGGCATGGAAATAACTTCCTTCTTGTCCAGTTAGGGATGCTGGAAAGATCTACAGCTGAATCAAATGACTTGGGATTTCTTTGAATCTGACTTGAATTTATTTCCAAGTTGTGTGGATTGCATGTATCACTTTAACACCTTTTTGGAGTGGGGGATTTGCACAAATGTGCATTAGCAAACAGGAACTAATTCCTCGTATATCCCCCTTCCCCAAAACCATGCAATTCCACAGTGAGCAGATGACAGAAGAAAAGACGCCCAACAAAATGAAAGACAGAACGCATTTAACAAAATCTGCAGATTCCTAACTTTAGTGGGCATTACAAAATAATGGCTGCTTCTGGTCTAGCAACTGAAGTTCCAAAGGCATTTCAGAAAAGTAACTCTCCTTTTTCATAATGAAGGTGGAAAATATTAGAAGAAAGTTAAGTTAGAAGCTAGTACTGAATCAGAAAATGTATCCTTTTGGAATAAGAAGCCCAAAATTCTCTGACTAAAGTCTTGCTATGGGATAGCAGAACCCAATCTTAGAGGTCAAACAATCCTATCAGTACTGAATCATGTATACTGATGCATCCAACATGTATCAGTCTTGATATCAGTTCTTACATGAATCGGAACAGGTGTTTTCCAGCTAAGTTGAGGTGCCATGAACAATGGTAAGAGTAAACTGTAGTATCACTGCTATTTTCCACTTACTTTCTATCTGTGAATGTAGATCATTGACTATCACTTGTAGCTGCCCAATTGTCATATCTCTCAGGTCTGTGGGTTTTAAGCTTCTTTTCATCAAGCATTCACTTATATGAGGCATATGCGGCAGCTAGACATAACATTGAAAACACTTTAGGCTAGTGTCTTTGCCAGCATTACACATGTTACTAAAATTCACTTCCTTAGCATGTTTTCTTACGCTCTAATAGCAATAACACTGATAATAACCTTCTTTATATTAAGTGTTCTGAAGCTAGGCACTGTACATATATAATATCCCAATTCTACATACTACACATCATATATAAATGGTCTTGCAAGTCAGTCATAGTATACAAGGGTTAAGGAAAACTCTCCAAAGTCTCCTGAGCTTTGCCTGATCTACATACGCAGCAGCCACATGGGGCAGCTCTTCCCAGAACGCACCACCCCAAACCAAAGTTGGGGTAATCTTAATGCTCTGAACACTTCCAAAGGAAAATAATAACTCAAACTCTGTGCTGACTGATATATTGCAGAAAAGGTGGAAGGCTTTGTAGGGACCGGCTATGTTTCCTAAGGATGTACCCTTTTACAGAGAGGTCTAGTGATTTTAATGTCATTGCTTGTTCTGTCTTATATAACAATACCTCCACTTTTGTCTAGGGCCTAGTGGATCTAATAACATTAGAAAAAGTGCACAGATTTAGAAGGCATACATTTCAGAAATGCTGGGATAACACAGGTGGTGTGAATAAAGATCAAGCACTACAGAGAAGTATCCTATGCTGCCAGCTGACCAGAGAGTCCCACTGCTAGGGAAAGAGGGAGCTAGTTGTTTTTAAAGCAATTGGAAGTCAGTGGTATCACTCATTCCCAGAACAAGCTCCTACCTAGTAGGGAGGAGTCATTTGACCTGCCCTAATCTGGAAATGAGTGTATCTGCTTATTTGTGGAGCTCCTTTACTAAGGACTAACTCCTCATTTTACTAGCAGTGATAATGCCAGAATAAGCAAGAGTGCAGTGGCAGTTTAGGATACTGTCATAAACTGAGATGGTGGTCAAAAGGCATCCATTAGGGTTTCAGGCTATTTGGGTACCAATGGGAATGGGGCTCTCTAGTAATTAATTTAAGACTGTTCAACAGATTCATAGACAATGTAAAACCATACAGAAGCTATATTCCTAGTTGCTGTAACTCTACTGGCTGGGAAAACCTGATTTTGCTGAACAGTAATGTAAACGCATTTAATGGCATGACATTAATTTTTTCTGCATGATTCAACTCTAATATATGCAATATAATTTAAGTACTTTTGAAATGTATTTCAATGGATTATGGAGCTACACGTTTTTCTAAACCTACAAAAACAAATGAATGGCTTATGAAGAATTGGGTGACCCTAAAAGTGGAAACAACTAGTAGGTACTAACTGTTTGTGAAATACGTACAAGATCAGCTACTGGTGATTTTTTCCTGTTTTGCTTTTCTACTTCTACTTGCATTTTGGCCATTGGTTTTGCCATTGCCAAGGCCATTTTGGCTTCAGCTTGAAGTTTCTTCTGCCTTGTGAGAAAATCCATGTCATCAAGAGACTCGGATTCTTCTTCAGTAGTGTCTCTGTCAGAATAGGAAGAACTCTGCTTGCTCTAGGAAGGGAGACAACATGCACATGTATCAGCATTACAAACTGAACAGACCTGTTTTATTCAGCAACTAGTTAATTAGTCAACCAATTAAAACTGTTAACATTATCACTACCATAGTATGAATGACATTTATATTCATCCATGTGACCTGGAAATGAACTGATTGGTTCAAACAAAGAGACATACATCTCAGGTTGCTGGAAAATGATTTTTTTAATTCCAAGTCCTTGATGGTGGTGGTGAAATCCTTTTCATGCATCCTGAGAGTCTCTGCTTGTGATGAGATGCTTTCTAGGGTTTTCTTTTTTTACAAGTATTTTTCAGATGCACGGAACCAGTTAATGAACCTTTGTTGGCTTAATAGGAAGCAAACCAAACCACCATTGTTGGAGAGTTAAGTGAGAGTTAACCCTGGAGAGTTAAGTGCTCTATTTTGTTCTTTGGGTTAAATGTTTGGCATTTCTGGATAAAAGGGTCCAGGAATGGAAAAGAACTACTACAAGTATGACGAGTTATACGGGGCTAGATGGATTCTTTGAGACACCATTCAAGGCAAGTTCTTCAAATCTTCATTTAGCCTGAGAAAGGCAGGTTGCTTACCTGTAACTGTTGTTCTTTGACTGGTCATCTGTGCATTCACAGATATGGACTCTGTGCCTGCACAGAGCTTGGGCGGAGCTAAGGCTGTTCTGGAAGTAGTGCAGGATGTGTTTGATGGTGGCCTGCCATGGTCAAAGCCTTCCTGGTGCACCAAGAAGACTGGGAAGGCATCCACTTCCCATATGTGTGATGCACAGAGATCATGAAGAAGAGCTATACCCACTTCTAATTACCTGGTAAATGATATAAGCAATTACTTCCCCATGATATTTTAAAATGCTTTTAGGACTGACTTGTGCAGAAGCTGGGTTACATAGTGTGACAGAGCCAGTCCTGGGCATGGGTATAACCTCTAATTGTAATAGAAGCCTACAGTTTTCATTTTAGGCTAAACACACAAGTAACCTATTTATAAATAACCTTAATTATTTAACAGATATAGTGCAATAATTTTGAAAACTATGATATCCTCAGTGTGAAATTTGGCTGATTCACTGTTCTCAAACTTATATAGTACTTATTGCTACTAAGACTCACCATGGGGGATAAAGGTGTATCCAGACTGGTTTCGGTCTTGCTGTCATCAGCATCGCTATCTTTGTCACTGCCACTGTCATTTACAAAACAAATTTGCAAATTCATCCCACTTTGTAACCTTAAGAATAAAAGAGAGAAAATATTGTTTCATTGTTACATTTCTATATTACCCCATAGCTGTCACTTCCTGGGTGGGTCAGAAAAAACATTAACACCATAAAGTAATTAAACTTAATATGAAAACTTTCACAACTTTAAAACAAGAAAATAAAACTACAATGTCAAGATCTAAAAATGCACCAGTACATTTTCTGCAATGATACAAGATGTATTAATTACTATGAACCACTGTGGAACTACCCCAGGAATACTGGAGAGCAACTGATTCAAATGAGCTTGCATTTTTAGGAATCTGACCGGCCGATTCCACAACAGATTGGCTTTTTCAGTTGTGCAGATAGCGTGGACTACTTTTTAGCTTTTGGAAGGGGAATCTGCACACATGTGAACTTGAGCTAATGCACATCAGCTCACATGCAAATCAGCACTAATGCACATTGTACATCTCTACCTCACTGTGTCAATGAGCCTAAGAATCTGAGAAACACAGACAGATCAGATTTAATAAAATCCATTCACATCTAGTCTAGCCCTCTGTTTAAGGCATACCTCCTCCACCTAGGAAAGTTTATGCCATCACGCTTCCACTATCCAGTGCAACACACTCGCTCAAGAGTAGCCAATCAACTTAATTTTTTTATCAGTTTGACTTAGGCAGGGCTAAGGGAACCAGTGGTCTTCCAGTTCATGCACCCTGAAAGTGTATCCAAAATGGAATTCAGCTCTAGCCTTAATTTATTACATGTACCCAACCTGGTGGCCTTCCCATTTCAACTGCAACACCCAGAATTCCCAGTCAATGGTCCTGCTGGATGGGAATTATGGGAGTTGCAGTCCAAATGCCACTGAAGGCCACCAGGTTGGGGAAGGCTGCCATACAGTATGTTAGCACAGCATGTAACACATTTTAAAGCCTCTTAAAATCCCATCACTGCTGTGGTCACATTATCCATTGCACTTTATCCAATGCTCCATCTCCTTTGGGTCAACATTTTGCTGCAACACCGATGTGTGACATACTTTATGGATAGTCCTTTCATGTGCCAAAGAACCAAGTGCAGGCTGCTATGGGAATGCCATGGGATCAAGTATCAATGGATACTGGATATTAGCACCGGGAAAGAAAGCAGTTTGGCTTATTTATGGAACAACTGAAAACTGTACCGACACGAATTATCCAAATATCTACCCGTACTGCAACTATCCCATTATTCAGCAAACATCAGCATTTATCAGGTGTGAAATGTTGCGAATTGGGATATTTCCAAGTTACCGTCTTTGAATATAAATCACAACCTGAACCTCTTGAAGTCATAAAAGTTTGGAGACAATGCAAAAACCATGTCCAAATCACAGGAAATGTTGAGCCTTCAAGGCATAGCACCAGTTTATACATTTACTAGAATCAAGTGGAAAGCCTTTTTCTAGACTATAATAGTGTAACCTGTGGCTGTTCTTTGTTTTTTAGTACCTGCCCCCACCTTTCCCGGTACTTACAAAGCTAATAGGGCTGTTTTTGCCACAGCCAAACCATGTTATTTTGTGATGTGCAGGCAGGTGCTTGAGTATTTTTTTTAAGGTAGGACAACATTCAAAGATACAACCGCTTTTCCGCACAGCCTGAAGAGATACAGTCCAGAACAAACATTGCCCCTTGATTCAGATAGAAACTCACCCTTGAGGAATTACATGCTTATATCTTCATTCTTTTAAATGAAAATATTTTCTCTGAAGCTGCAGTTTTGTGATACACTTCCAACATCAAGATTCTACCTTGAAGTTTTCAGAGGGCTTTTAGGACAGTGTTGATGCTAAGAAGCAGCTTTCCTACTGCAAATAAAATGAGGAGGGGCAACCTTAAAAATGTGGGAAATTGCCACAGGGAACAAAGCTGGAACTATGACCTTTTGTCTAATTTTTATGTTTTTCAACCACCCAGAGAGCCTTGGCTACTGGGCAGCATAAAAATCAATTAAACAAACAAACAATGAACCATAAGAATGCCGAGTAGGGACATTCAAGGTACTCATCAACCATTGGTACCTGGGCACTAGCCAGAACAGCTGGGCACAGACCATCCTGCTGTGGTGAGATGTACTGCATTTCTATTTATATTGCAGCAAGTATTTCTAAATTGTCACCTATGTATACAAATTAATATATGCAAATGGTTTGCAAATCCATGTCTATTATTTAGAAGGGGATGTGTAAGTCAACACCCTAGGAGAAAGTCCCAAGTCCTGTGTAACATGCAGTTACACCTTTACTTTATGAATTCAAGTAGCCCATTCCCCTATTTGTTCTGTTCTCTGCCTACCCCTGAACTCGTAAGACTATAAATGAGCTCTACAAGACAAGCGGTTTGTGCCTCATTTCAATTACAGTTGGGGAAGCTGAAAAAAGAGGAGGGCTAATGGTTTCATATGTAGGTTCATTACTATGTTGAGATCTCCTGGTGCAGACAGACAGATAATTTACAGGATTATTTTTGCAAAGACATTACTGAGCTGAACTTGTGCTAAACCTGGAATTTTAAAATAGTGCTATCATTCTGAGAAAATGAATGGGGAAACTATGCAAGCAAATCATGGAGAATCTTACCCTGAAAACAGTTTACATGCTTGAGTAATAAATACACAATTGCTTTTAAAACGTGTATATCCAATTTGCTTTTACCTTTTGATTTACAGTTGCTCATAAAAGAAAGGGAACACAAAGCTTGGCTCTGATTGCATCTTTTAGAAGGAACTGGACTAGCTGGTCCTGTCCCTATGCCTCTGAAAACAACAATTTTCTAATCACTTGACTAACTTTGGTGTTGTGCAGAAGGCCTGCCAACAATGTCAAAAGGGCTTTCTTTATGGTAATCTTGTAGTAGAGTACAAAGATAGAGTAATCTTTTTGTACTAAATGCTGCTAATACAGTTTAAAATAAAACCTTCTTTCCATACATTAGTGACAAAGTATGACCTCTCAATTAATTAAAAATAACGGAGAAGCAAGCTGAAGCCATTTAACAATCTGTCAACCTAATTCAGAAAACCTGTAAATTCTAGATAAACGTGCCAACTAGTTTAACAGGTACTGCTTTAGAAAACCGCAATGATGTTGGCAAATAAGGAAGACGCGTGCCTAGCAGCTTCCAGGAAGCACGCCCCCTTCCTTGGATGACAGCATTTTGGTACTTGCTCAATGGTTCACCTTCTCCTCTTCATGCAAATCCTCTCAAGATCCCTCAAAGTGTGACAATCAAGAGGCTTTATATAGAACACATGCAACAGGTCTGGTCACATGCCCTCTCTGCAAAGTGTTTTGCAATTACCTGCAGGTGAGTGTTAACACATGGCCTTCCTTACCATCTGAGAGTTTTACCGAGAGCCTTCCGCTCTCCCTTCACTACATTGGCTGCATCCTCTGGGAGCAAGCAAATACATCCACTTTATCCATGTACATAGGGCACTGACCTAGCTCACGTTTGGACACTACAGAAACCTCCATGTCAAAAGTGATTGAAGCAATGCTATTTCTGAAGGAAAGAGAATGACATTCAGAATAATGTCAAACAGCTACAGACCTCCATCAGCCTGGGTGCTGTGCCTTTTCTTTCTAACACAGGGAGTTGCGCTTGCAGAGCACTGGGAAGGGCATCCATGCGCTATACAGATTAAAAGCAGGAGTGCACAACTGGCGGCCCCTGAATGCAGGCCATGCATCCCCATGCTCCCTGTCACGGCTAAAATCCTCCCGCTGCTGCGGAGGCCTCCCCTCTCCCCACCACTGATCAGCCATGCTGCTTCTACATTAGGAGTGGCAGTACGAAAGCAGAGATGCCCATCTGGTCGCCAGGAGAGGAGGTGGCTAAGCATCAAGATCTCTTCTTGCTAATGCCAGAGTGCAGGACATGGAATAATCAATTCAAGTTGCAACAACCCAGATTCAGGCTGGACATCAGGAAAACCTCCCTCACTGTCAGAGCAACATGACAGAGGAACCTGTTGCCTAGAGAGATAGTGGGCTCTCCCATACTAGGGACATTCAAAAAGAAGCTGGACAGCCACCTGAGTGGGATGGTGTAACATGATGTCCTGCAACAGCAGGGGGTTGGACCCAACAGCCTTCTTGGCCCCTTCCAACTCTACTATTCTATGATTCTATCCCTCCTCCCTCCTTGTGACCCTGAAGAAGCCCCTGTCACTGTTTGTGCACTGCCATTAATGGTGCGGAATGAGTGATGTGCACTGGGCAGCTGGGACGAGCAAAGACCTGACAGCCGTTGGCTCTTGGCTGGAGGAGTTTAGTGTGGGGAGCAGGGGTAGTTACTATCTTGTAAGAGGCATTTCTGTAGTGTGTGAAGAGAGAGCAGCTCTTTAAGGTTGTGCTTGTCATCTGCAGTTAGAAATGCTTATCTTTAAAATAATTTTTTAAAAATCTGCTCCTCTTTAGTTGATTCATTTAAAAATGATTTTAAATGATTTCAACATCATAACTCTGTATTTTAACGAGCTTTCAGTTTCTAAAACAGGGTTGTTAAGTAATTAAATAAAACTTAAGTTTATTTGGCTGCATGCTTCTTCTCTTACCATTTGGAAGAAAGTCCACTGGAACTGTCAGCAAATTCATTCTCAGCAATTATGCTTATCATTATATTCATATGTGACAATTGTTTCAGTCACCAGTGCATCAGCTTTGTAAGGTAAGTCACTCTGTATTATTCCTACACAGCCGATTGGAGACAGAGGCTGTAAGAAGCCTCCCTGAGATCAACTCATTATATCAGGGCCATTTCCTGTTTCAGGACACAGTTGGTTATCTATCTGTTATTCTGTTAAATGCTATATTCTGTACTAGCAGAAGATGATCCAAGCCTGAAAAGCAGTGCTTCTGAACTTGTTTCATCATCAGACAACACTTTAATGACACATACACATAATAATTTCTCTGAATCAAAAAAACCTCAGACCTCAGCCACAAGGCAGCTTGTAGAGCACTGCAAAATCC